ATTACTATCTTGTTAGAAATTAATATATTATCTTATTATAAATAATTGTTTTAATTATACTTTTTTTTAAGAATTTTGTTTTGTTATACTATAAAATATTGTAATCAACTAATTTTTCAAGACTTTTCTTTTGGTCATTTTACATGTTTATCATCTGATTTTTTTGCCAAATTTGTCCATCAGCTAGGTTATCAGCCACCATTAGCTTATCAGATAGTTTGTCAAACATAGCTTTCTATGTGCATGATTTGGACTCTAATCCGGTTCCTCAATTGAACTTGTATGTTGAGATTCAAATCTTATCGATTCATTGATTAATTCATCGTTCAAAAGGCTATATTTCTTCTAGGGTATACTGGGTATGCAACTTGAGAACTGGTAGGGTTTCTTCGTCCTCGTTTAACTGTTCTTGATTGATTGTCTCTGTCTTTCGTAAGTTGTTTGATATGTTTCCCTGTTTCCTTTGCTTGTTGTCTATCAGACATAAAAAAGGTATAAATATCAGTATTAAATTTATTATCAAATTCATAAACCCAATAAAAGTTATCTGATTACATGTTAAAAGATCCTTTATTTTATGTTTGTTTCAAGTCATGCCTTGCTTTGGCAAGAATCTTTGAAACCCAAGCTTTTGCCATGACCAAAAGCAAAACCAAGAAACCGACACAATCAAAGAAGGAATAATACCACCATTCTTTCATGTTATTACTATAAAAGAGTACCGTCTTATGCCAAATTAACCATCTTTCTAATCAGTTTCCTATTATTTTTCGAGTAAATTGCTATGGATTCAAAGACCGGAAGTACCCAACTGCAGGCGTTATTTACTTATGATGAATTTGAACCCTTATGCACGTGGCAACGGGAGGATGGCCAAGACATACTCATGCTTCATGTACCAGGTATCTATCAACCATTTGTACCGGAAAGGTTAATGACGAACTGGGTTTTTATTGAATTACTTATTCTTTATGTTATTTTGTATGTTTTCAAGAATTCAAGAAAGACCAATTGAGAATTCAAATGAACAATATGGGGATATTAAAGATCACCGGAGAAAACGTCATAGATGGTAAAAGACGAAGCCGTTTCCAGAAAGAAATCAAGGTCACAAAAGATTACGACTCGAGTGACATCCATGCCAAATTCTCCCAAGGCTGGCTTCGTGTTACTTTCCCCAAGAAAGTGGCGACTCCTTCAACGCCGGAACGTCCTTCTGTAGCTGTACCATCATCGCCTCAAGATGGTAAAAGCAGTAGTGTCAACACCGATGGGAAAACCACTGGTGCTAATATAAGGGCACGAGTAAGTCAGGTTATGAAATCTAAAGAGTTTACTCAAGTCGTGGTGAATGTTGGTTCTGTTGTCGTTGCAGCTTTTAGTGCTTATGTTGCATATAAATACTGGACTTCGTATGTACAAGTTGACGAAGATTGATTCTTTTATCAGATGTCTTGATTTAAATATTAACATGTATTTGTTTATGTAATGAATTATATCATGTGGAAATAAGAACGGAATATTTGAATTTATTTATTGTATATATTGTTTAATATCATGTGTTTTTTTTACAACATTAAAATGTATTTCACAAAGTTATTTTATTTAATAAAACTAGAGGGAAATTTAAAGCAATTGGTTGTTTGTTTAGCTTTTAATGGTTTCATTAAGAGTCAACATTTGAATTACAAAGATGTGAACTTTGTTTGGCCAAAAAAAAAATATGTCTCTTAATGAATCTAAAACTCTCTAAATGATTTTGTATTATGCGCATTCCTTAACCGTTCAACGTCCTAATTTCGTTGTAAATAATCACCAAATAATTATATTTCATTTTGTACGATTATCATTAAAACCTCTTAATCATTTTGACCACTTAATCATTCTAGGTCAAAACATTCATAAACTACTGGACAGCCTTTGAAATAGAGTGGAATCCCTATTAATAAAAACAATAAACATAATTTTTTTATAACATTTATGATAAAAAGATATCTTATAAATGTTGAAGGACACGTGGCACATTATCATTTGTCCACGTAATAAAGTCAACCAGACCCTCTCTTTTATAAGACTCGTCCGTTCCTCGACGTCAGTCAAACACCGCCACCGCAGCGCAACCGCTAACCACCACACGATACGGTCGGAGCTCGATTATGCAAACAGTGTGACGCTTAATCGTCTGCCTTGGCCTCCTAGACGAACAATCCCAATCGCCGGAGAACCGTTTCTCTCCGAATTGACTCACTGCCAAAAATACCGGCAGCTGACGATTGTTCGTGCAACTCCAAACGCGATACTACAGCCACTGCCATAGAAAAGTGAACCCAAAGGAAGAAATTGGAAATTTCAAGAAAATGAAAACCCGAGCCAAAGAAACCGAAAGAGTTGAGATTGAATCCGACAAGACGGTATTAGCCTCAGCTGAGAAAACCCTAGGTGAGAAAACTGAGAAAGTGGGAACTACAACTCCGGTGAAGAAGAAAGTGAGGGTTGTGAAGAAGATCGTGAAGAAAAAGGTTATTAAAAAGGTACCAAAACGTGTATCAGTTACACCCAATTGTAATGATTTAGAAAACGTTGCAAGCCCTAACACTAACGATAACGCTCCTATGGAAATTGAAAAACCTAATGTTGATGATGACGACTTAAGGGAAGCTGAGAATTTGAAGGAGTTTGAGGTTAATGATAGGGAAAAGGGCGTTCGTTTGGTTGAAACCAACAATTCTTGCAGGGATGAATGCGAGGGATCTGGGTTGCTAACTGGATCCCTGTTGGGTGATCAGAACAAAACTGAAATGTACGATAGAGAGCATGATATTAACACCATGGATATAGAAGAACATGAAGGTGAGGTGGGTGTGAAGGAGCAGGCTGAGAAGAGTTCAGAAATGGATGATGGGGTAAGTAAAGGCACAGAAGAAGACGAAAGTGAAAAGAAGGAGGCTGAGACCAGTGAATGTGTTCCTGTGAAAATTGAAGTTGGTTTAAGTAAGGGGGAAGATGGTATGAAGGAGCAGGTAGAGAAGAGAAAGCATATTGATTTGAAACCCAGTGACATTGTTGAGGATCAGGAGGGAGTGAAGGAGGTGTTTGAGAATAGTGAAACTGATAGTTTAAGAGCAGAACAAGGTGTAAGTGAGAGAAGGGTATTGAGTGGACAAATGGTAGCATCGGGGTGGCATATGAAGCAGAGGACCAAGATTTTCATCCATGGATTGGACAAAGAAACAAAGGAAGAAGATATTAGAAAAGTTTTTGAAGAGGTCGGCGAGGTTGTTGAAGTGAAAATAATAACCAATCTCAAAACGGGCAAAAGCAGGGGGTTTGGCTTTATCAGATATGCTTCAGAAGGCCATGCTAAATTGGCTCTCATGAAATACCACAATGTTGAGGTAACTCTATCCTTTTCAACTTATATCTTTTCCGTAGTTGTACGTTCAACAATTTTCATAGAATATCGACAATCCAATGTAAAAGACATGCTAAGTTGATTTGTGTAGGCGAATCACATGTACCTCCAAGTCAATTGGCAGTGATTCCGGAAGTTAATGTACAGAAATTGGTATTTCTAGCTAGTACTTGTTTGTCTTTTGGATAGTAAGTAAATATGGCCACTGATAACAAGGCTTCTGTTCCTGAATTAGTTCCGACAATGTAAAAATTAACAATATAACAGAATGGGTCTAATTATTTGTGATGAGGCAAGACAATCACGGTTTCTCTACTTAGTGTTGGAAAGGATGCCCATTTGACTTGAGAGCCCCCAAATGATGAAACTAGACAAGCTTGGCTTAGAGATGATGGTAGATTATACCTGCAAATCAGAAATTCTATTGGTAATGAAGTTGTTGGTTTAATTAATCGTTGTGAGTTTGTTAAGGAGTTAATAGATTTAGAATTCCTATGTTCAGTTAAAGAAAAATATATCTCGAATCAGTGGATCCAAATTCGATCGGAAGAAAAACTAATAAAACGTACACGTACCCAACCAATCAAATAAACACGATTGAACTAGGAACTCTGACACATATACAACGAATCAAATAACTACAAAAGAGGGGAACATAAAGAATCCGTACATTAAACCAATGATAGATCTCTTAAAATCACGATCAAAACTTCCAATATGAATCCAACTTGAAACCTAAAGATTGATGCTTGGAACTCTAAAGATTTCAACCAAACTCTCGATTTTTTTTTCTTTGCTGCCCTACACGATTTTATGGGATGAAACCAATAAGATTGGCACAATTTGGAGTTCAAATTGGCTTAAGAAACTACTGCCGTCGAGAATCACATTGGAGGCTACCCATATCTTCAAAGTTTTCTCTATTGATTTATCAAGTCCCTTTACTTTTATAAGGTTTCCAACTTGAGCCAACAATTTACTTGCTTATTAATATCATATAAATTACAGGATATTACAAAAGAGCTTAGATTTTATTGTAGCTACAACTACCTTTGATTTATCTTCTGGGAATTCTCATTAATTCACTATCTTAGCTGGCAAGTCTGCCAAATTCTCCCGGTATTATGAATCAATGATAAGAATCTACTCTAGCTTAGTAGGGTAAAACATGTCTCATTTCCTCGAAAAACGGCCCTTAGTTTTTGTGCCACCAATTACGAGATAGATAATCCCAAAATCTTTTCTAGCCGTCGGTCTCACACAACCTTGACGGGTCAAACTATCATTTTGAGTGTTTTTGGATGGTTAAACCCACTTTATCCGTCACCTTGTCCACTTGAGATGGTTTTTCATCTCCAGCATAGACCTTTGGAGTTTGGATGCAGGGTTAAAAAGAGGAGGTTGTTAGGAAATGTAGAGGTCAATGAAGATCAACACAGGGAGAGTCTCAGAATACAATATTTGAATTAGCTGAATATACCAAAAGAGTTGGCGTTGGATAGGAGTATGAGAAGGTATAAAGTCTCATAGCCTTTGGGTTCACCTGGCAGCCACCACATTTGTTAGATTTGCATCTAGCAGTTATGGATATCTTATAATAGAATTATCACCTCATTCTCAGCTAACTGTTAAATAAAACTTGATCTGCTTTGAGCACTTATTTATGTTTTGTTTTTTTGGTTTCTAAAATACAATTATAGATCTGTGGAAGACCATGTCGCACAGCCGCTGTTGAAGGGAGTGGTACTATCTTACTCAATAATATTGATAAGAAGTGGAAAAGTGAATATGTAAGCCATAGTTTGATCGTCAATCTTAGTAAGTTCTCAGGCTTAGCAAGATAGCTGAATAGAATTATTCTTTTTGGCAGGTCCTTGCATTGTTGCAGAAAATCGGCATCGAGAAAATAGACGAAGTCTCAGTTGTAGCTGACCCTGAGAACACCGAGCTCAATCGTGGTTTTGCCTTTCTTGAACTTCAAACAAAGAGGGATGCTCAAATAGCTTACTCTAAACTTCAAAACAAAAATGTTTTTGGGAAGCACTCCAAGATAAAAGTTGAATGGGCTGAGCTCTTAGCTGATCCAGTTGAAGAAGAGATGCATCATGTTTGTCAATTGTTCTTTTTTAGCTGTCTTCATTTTATAATCTATCATATTTGGTTTGCTAAAGTTTTCATGGAAGTTGGTGTCGGGATGGATTAAATTTATTTAATTAATCCTTACCACCAAGAATTTGAGTTGAGATTTAGTGTTCCACATACGAATGGTTTTATATCCTCTAATTATTTTGCCTTGTGTAGATCAAATCTGTTTATGCTGAACATATACCTTCCTCTTGGGATGAAGAGGAAGTGAAAGACCATTTCAGAATCTTTGGTGAAATCGAAAGCATTGCTCTTTCTAAAAATCTCCGTTCAACTAAGAGAAGCGACTTTGCATTTATCAATTACAAGACATGTGAAGCTGCTCTTTCGTGTATAGAGACATTCACTAGCAAACAATCAACCAACGATGATGGCTCAAAGGTCTGTTATAGTACTGTGATCGAGATAATCCCTGTAATGGTTTTGAGGTCATTCACATACCTTGGATTTGTAGGCTGGCGTGAAAGTTTCTCTTGCCAAGTCAATCCCAAAAGGCAAGCCAATCAAGACCATCTCAGAATCTGCTGCTAACGAGCCTTCCAAGGTTAAGCAAAAAGCAAACCAGAGTAGATGTATGTCCCCGTTTAATTTATGGTATATTTTGGCTGTTCTTAGTTGTTATCGCCATTTCAAAACTTGGAAAATGTTCTTATCTTGCTGCTTTTCTTCTATCGTTGCTATCATTTTTGTTCGAGTTCCTCTTCACGGGGGCCAAGCCCCAATGGGAAAGTATATTGAGGGCGGAAGTAATTTATGACTATAGTATAATTAAATATTTTAAAAAAACTTGCTGGTTCACTAATCAAGAAACCTTGTCATTGTAGCTGTCTACAAACCACACAAACCTATAAACACGAGAGTGTCGAGCATTAGCAGACATGAAGATGCTGGTAAAGGTGGAGGATCTTCTACTACTGCTGAACTTGTACGTCTTTTAAGGGAGCAGGCCTCATGGAAGCATGGTGGACCAAGTCCAACCACAGGTTGCTTGCTTACATTTCATTCACTTATTTACTTATTTTTGAAGTATATAATATTTATATACTGCAAATCTCACACATACTTTTGACCTTTGGTGAGGTTTGAACCCTTCATTTCTTGGGAGGCTGGGCTCTACCTACTCCCAGTAATTGGATACCATTGGGCCAATGACCCTTTGGTCTTCTTTTACTTCTTCCCAATGCTAGTAACTCGACTCATGAGAACATGTTAGATCATGTTTTGTTCCACTTATACTGGTGTATTCATCCTTCCCTTTTTCCAGGCATGAGCACTGTTCATCGTCAACCCCCATCCGGAGGGAAGGAACCGTTTATAGAACTGGTAATGGTTGTTTTACATACCGAGATCAATGATGATCACAGGGGAAAATTTCGTTTCTGAAATCGCAGGCTGCATGGGATTTTAGAAATTAGGAAACCTCTAATACCAATCTTGGGAAAAGATCAAATGAGAACTATAAATATTTTGAGAACCGTGAGAATCAGTAATGCGTTGATGCATGACACTATGAATTTCATCGAGTACATGCACCAATGCATGTCTATATATTCATCGATGAATATACTAATTGATGGAATACATATATAGTGTATATGCATCAAGTGTTGGGTTTCAATGAGAAGCGTAAGAAGAGATCTCCACCCTTGGATGCACATTAGGATGAGATGTACTGGATCAATTCTCGTGAGAAGCACAATTTATGGGTGGGCAAGAGATTAAAAGTGATCAACGGTCCAGATCTCTTCTTACGCTTCTCACCTTAACTCTCCTTCTCACACGATCCTTTGCCTATGCATCAATACATATATATGCATAGCCTGAGGAACACCCTAATAGCTATTCATCTATACAGTATGCACATGTGCATAAAAATAATTTTTCTGGTATGCACATGTACATAAAATACACGTTCATAAAAACCAGGAAACATTTTCAATTACTTTTTATCCATGTGTGCATACCGTATAGATGAATAGTTATCAGAGTGTTCCTCAAGTTTTTCATTTTTTGTGGTTTTCCCTTAAACCTGGATCTATATGCATATATTAGTTCTCACGGTTGTCAAAATATCTGTGGTTGTCATTTGAACTTTCTCATAACAATCATATCGATCATATTTCATGAGAATCACTATTCCATACCTCATACTTGCAGTCTGGAATTTACGTATGCAGGGAAGGGAATCATTATATCATCATGATCCTCGAACATACCACCAAACTCGTCTTGAAATTCCCAGTGCTGCACATCCCAGGTTCGTTGCTTGTTGCCTGATACACATTTTACTTTTATCAGCATAATATCACTCTGATTGTCGGTCGTTATTTGTACAATCTGTATTTTTCATGAGCAAGTGTCAAACTGACAAAAAAAATCATATGTTCCGGTTTGGTGGATCCGCGACCCTCTTTACAAACAGATCGATAGCCAATTCCGTTGCCATGACATCCTTCCCTCGTTATGATCAGCAACGTGTTAATCATGCACCTGGTATGTTATTTATCATTCTTAGTTATGGCTGCATGGTTGGGTTGGGTGATAACGGGAGAATGCTTTTGCTTGACAGGATCATTCGTTCGGGTTGAAGCTAATCCTAGGTATTTCCAGGTATGCTTCAAGTTCTCCACTTTTACTTTCTCCGTCCCAAAATAAAAGTCCTCAATGAAAAAGGCACATAGTATTAGAAATGAGTAATTATTACACTTTTTTAATTAACATATGACAAATGTACCCTTATAGTTGATATTAGGAGTAATGAATTTTTTCGCCTCATAATTAAGGGTATTATTAGAAAGCAGGCACTTCTTTTTGAAAGTCGAAACTTGTTTTAGGACAAAGTAAAGAGTTGTTTGGTTGGTTTTCCATCAAGTCCTGTATGGATAAAATTGTCTGTGTGAATTAATCTGTTTGTATATATTTGGAAGGTTTTTGTTTGAGAGAATTTTCATAGATGGAAGGAGTGTGGTTTTTAATTGGGAGGGGCAGGTTTGGAAAAAAAAAACTTGGCTTTCTGCATCAACCCCCCCTGAATCTTACTGAATAAACCACTTTCTATATCATTGAGCCACTATCAAACAGTCATATACCGAATAAGTTGTGAGTCCCATTAAGTTCATTAAGCTGCTAACAAACAAGCCCTTGTATGGAAAAAGCTGCCTGTGTGGATTAATGTCTCTATAGAATGAGAAGGTTTTTGTTTGGGAGTGTTTTTTTCACAGATGAAAGAAGTGTGTTATTTAATTGGGAGGAGCAGATTTGGAAAAAAACTTGGTTTTCTGCATTAAGCTCCCCTTAGAAGCTTACTGAATAAGCCACTTTCTATCATTAAGCCACCACCAAACAGTCATATATAACTGACTAAATAAGCTTTGAGTCCCATTAAGCTCATTAAGCTGCTAACAAATAGGTCCTAAAATAAAAATGTGGACACTTTTTTTTGAGACGGATAGAGTAATTCCTATCTATTCCAGAAATAGAAAAAAAGGAAATCTAAAATTTATATTCAGCTTATATAAAATGATAGGAAATTACAAAAATTATTCTCAATCTTTAAACACTTCATATCCGTTCTTCTTTGTTCTTCTTTGTTCTTCTTTTCCGCATTTTGAGTTTAACAAGTTAAAGATTGTGCATTGCTGCATTGAATAGTTAAAGGTTCCCGTCACATGTTTCCTTTCCAATTTTTTGTTTTTAGTGATGGTCATTTTCATCTGTCGGTCTGATTTCTCTAATGGACTTTATCCAAGTACTATTTTGTTCATCTCGTGCTACTAAGTCTGGTCTTCTTTGCAGACAAGAGACCAAGTCACTTACCATGATGGAAGTAGTATCATATATCGGCAAATGCATTAGCTCTAAGGTGAATTATTTTCTTCATTTACTTCATATCTAAATCACCAACAATTGTTCTTATATTTGGGGCAATAGTTTTTTCGACCCTGTATTCGGATTTAGGGGCTGTTTGGTTGGTTTTCCATCATGGATAGCGCTGTCTCTGTGGATTAGTTTATCTGTATGGATTATGAAGGTTTTTCCATAGATAGAAGGAACATGTTTTTAATGAGTGACAGTTTCGGAAAAAAATTCGCTTTCCGCTTAAAGCTCCCCCTTAGAAGGTTACTGAATAAACCACTTTCTATGTAATTAAGTCACTACCAAACAGTCATGTATAGCCGACCAAATAAGTTGTGAGTCCCATTAAACTCATTAAGCTGCTAACAAACAGGCCCTTAGATCCCTTATGCTAATGTTTCCGTTTTCATTATTTAAAACGACTTCTTTTTCAAAGTCTTCTTTTTTCAGAGGCTCTTTTCACATGCTTTTCTCAACCCATGGGTCTTTATGCATTAGCTCTACTCTTTGGTCTTTGGTGTACAAGTCAGGTTTGCATCCATCTCAATCCAGGTGGGATATAATGGACTCGTTTGGTTTGTTTTGGTTTTATCGAACAAACATGGCGCAGAATGTTATTTCAAGTGTGTTTACGTTTTTGGAAGACGGAATATTATGAATCCTTTCTTTTACAAGTCGAAAGTTGACTGTAATTTCGGGCCAGATGGGGGGTATGAATTCCATAAAGACCTTGTGTTCAAGTTCCATTTTGATTTACATTTGATCCCACAACTTCATTTTGAGTTTAAATGTTGAATTCAGCGGATTGAACACAAAAATTACGATCTTGAACAGCCGTGATGGCTTTATGAGTGCAAACATGAACGATCTTTCTTCATTCACCCGTTCCTTCTTCTTGAATGCACAGATTTACAGGACACGCCGGCTGCTAAGGAAACGTCACCTAAGGAGGCTGTCGTATTCATCTGGGAACAGAATTCTGATGCACGAATGCGAAACAGACGATTTTACTGGACTTACCAAAACAAATCTGTTTTCCAGTTGGAAACTACATTTTCAGCCTTTTGTAAATTGCAGAAAAGCGTTCTCGAGACAATTTGTTCAATGTTATGCATATAAATCTTGAATGTTGCTGCGAGTAATGCGAAGCCAAACATCATATTTCGGCTTTTTGGGAGCGAATTATATGATCGAATTCAATGGTGGTCGTGGGGTTAAGCATAGAAATCTGTCTACTTTTTGTAAAATTCAAGAAAAATAATGGGTGTAAGATTGTTGGTTATATGTTTTGTAAATTAGAAATCTGATATGAATGAGGTGGTGTTTGTTTTTAACTTAATCCTTTGACTACATAAGAGGTGCTTATTCGGTCAGAAGTGGAGGTGTTCGATGATTAAAAAAAACGAGAGATCAACGGATGCTATCATTGCTGACCATAAACCATCACTGACAGCTCCAATTTCCTTGGAATCAATTGAGACTCCGTTACGTGATGAAGCGAGTCGAGTGGTGCAAGTTATTGGAGCTCGGTTTGAAAAAATGTTACCAGGTTCGAGCTCGAATGATTTTTTTCGGTTCAAATTGGAGCTCAAATATTTTTTCAATTTTGAGCTCGATACTCGTTTACAGACTCGAACTTAAGATCGATTAGCTTGCTTATTTGCTCGACATAAATAATGTTTTTCACTTTGATTTTGAGCTATGACCATGTTTGACTAAAAAAAGTGTAGGCTCGGCTCTTCTCAACTCAACTCGAAAAATTAAGTTCCCAAACGAGTCGAGTTGAACATGGTTGTTGTGAAGTGCAACTCATTAAGTTAAACGAGTTTTATTCTGTATTTGAGATGGACTCGAGCTCGAGTCACTGGTTAAAAGCTCCACTAGTTAACACCCCCTTATATATCAAGGGTTTGTTTGATATCATGGTTTGCACACATGAATAGACTAGATTGGATCGGTGAGAGTGACGTAGGCAGATGAAAAAATTACAGAATGTCTTAGGTTTTAATTTGTTTCAGTATTCTTGTCCCAGTCAAATTGTACGCTCTAAACATAAAATAACAGTACTTGATTCTGTTCTATCTTCTATTATAAACAATTTTCTTTCAAGAAAGTTTCTTTCAAGTCTTAAACGTTCGGTTTGGGGCTACAATTAACTGTAGAAGGTAGACGGAGGGGAAGTCCACGAGCATTAATGGCAGGACGACAACACTAGAAGATGTGTAAGTTGTTTGTTTATTTCTTAATAGTTTTATTAAGAGACAACATCTGAATCGTTAAGAGGTGAATCTTGTTTAACCAAAAGAAAATTCTGCCTCTTAATGCATCTAAAACCCTCTAAATGATTTTGTATCTTGTGATTTCCTTAATCATTCAACGCCTTAATTTTATTTTGCACAATTATCAAACAATCATATTTCATTTTGCACTATATCATAAGAGTCTCTTAATCATTCTGTTCATTTAATCATTTTGCACCAAACCATTCAGCAACCGCCAAACAACCCCAAAAATTACCTTTCACTCACTTTTTGAATGATGAAGTTATTAATTTTTTTTTTAAAATGAATAAAACCATTAAACTTTATAATTTTGAATGATTAAGTATTTGAACATTATTTTAAATAAATAAACCATCAAATTTTTAAAAATTGGTTACCTACATTCTTTTTTAACCTAAAAAAACTACCTGCAACAGATTATAAATGTTTTAAGGTAAAAGAGAAACTTAAATCAGTTTTACCGTTTCCAAACCTCATTGCCATTCAAACCCCTCACACCCACTGATCCAATGACAATGCTTTCCCTTACTGCCCTCATCACCGTCTGTTCCCCATATCTCTTATCACCGTCGTTGACATTGTGACCCATGTCACCGATCTCTCTATTTTGATTTTTTTGTTTCAATTCCGATTCTTTTACAACATTTTAATTGAATACGTATAGACAAATTAAAAAAGAGGGCTAATCGGAAAAACCCGATCAACAAGATGATCGATGGCAGGGGCTAATCAAAGAAAACAACATGAAAGAGTAAACAACGAAACACAACGGGGGTTTTCAAGTCTCTGATATCATGGTTAATTTATATGATCAAATTGTAAATCAATTATCGTCAAATGCTTTAAGTTAGGTGTTATACATAATAGGGTTAGGTTACGGTGAGAATAAGAGTTAGGCAACGTTTGTTTTTTAAGAGGTGTTGAATTCTGAAGTCTTATTTCGATTTTGATAAATAAGAGGTGGTGATGAAGTCTGAAATCTGAATCAATAAGATTGTTTGTTTTTATAAACTGACAAACGTCTGAAGTTTGAAATCTTAATCAATGGTTTGTTTTTGTAAAATTAGGTGCAAACATTTTGCAAAATTCTCTTGATTTTCATAAAATTTCCATTGCCGAAATTAATCTCAACAATTGCTTGACAGATGGAACACAATAAGAACCTTTTGGATACCTTTCAGACTTCCGATGCTAATGCCGCCGGTGAGTTTGTTTACGGAAAGATCGATACTTTTGATAGATGATAAATCGTCGATAGAAATTCTTGTTTCACATTAATCTTCTAAGCTAACCTTTACTTACATAAATTATATATATATATATATATATAGAGAGAGAGAGAGAGAGAGAGAGAGAGAGAGAGAGAGAGAAGGTGGAGGAGTGCATTTCATATGGGTGATGAAAGCACGATGACATCCCTGGTGGAGAAAGAAGCAATAGCMAAAGAGAATAAAAAAAAGAAAATAAGAAGAATTAAAATATTAGTTTACCTCTTATTTATTCAGACCCCTATTAAGTGATAAGAGACTCTAAAAATAAAAATAAAAACAAATTGTCTGAATTACAAAATGTCTCAACGAATCAGACATGATTAATAATTAAGAGCTAAAAATGAAAAAAAGACAAACAAGACCTTATAGTGAGAAGAAAAAAAAAGGAAATAAAATAATGTTGATTTTTTTCTTCCAAAACTATTATTTACTTATCGGGTAAAATTTAAACTATTATTTACTTACCGGGTAAGATTTTAGTTCACCAAAACGACATCGCATGCAACAATTTACCCAGTAAGCTTTTACAGTGGTAAGAGTCATCGCCCCTGCTTACCGGGCAAGACTTTTGGTCATTGTTTCGCTCTTAACGGATAAGATTCTTGGTTCTTACCATATTCATCTGATAAGGTAAATGTTACTTGATAAGTCTTAACCGGGTAATCATTTGGTAAATGACCCCTAAATCTGTAATATTCTTGAGACCCTCTTTAAGAGGAAAATAAAAGGAAAAAAGAAAACAATGTTGATTTTTTTCCCAATACTTTTCTTCTGAATATGGAAGAAAAAAAAAAAAGGAAATAAAATAATAACTCTTAAAAATATTTATAAAATTACATATCTACTCATTAATTACAAATGGTCATAAAATAAATAATTACATATTATAAAAAATCATAAAAAAATTTCTTTCATTTATTGTTCCTTTTCAAAAACACAAATTATTTTATTTTATTTTTTTCTTCCCAATTTCAAGAACACTAACGTTACCATGAAAGTCTCTAACAGATTTTCCGAAACAGGTAAACGAAGATTTTAAGCATGTTTTTTGGTCCAACGAATTCTTTAAAATGGATAAAGTAAGAAAGAGACCGTAAAATTCTCCAAATTTTTATAAAGATAATAATTAAGTATTTTGTTATAACTAATAATTATCCTAATTATATTTTAAAAAATTTACATTCAAAATGAGATGTTTATCCCGTATTTGATTATTTTTATCAATAGTTACTTACACAAATATAAAAATAAAGTTTTAATAAGTTGTACTTACAAACAACTTACCCGTGATCTTGAATTTTAAGTAATATGCATCAATAAACAGCAATTTATTCATAAAAAATAATTTTTAAGAATTTTTGTCAAATGATTTATAATATAATATACACAATCAGTATTGTAATCTTCAAAATATATTAAAAAATCTCTTAAAAGTTAAATATATTTTCATTTTAAAGACTTTGAAATTCCATTATCTACTTTAAAGCAATTTTAGAAAATCCATTAATTATATATATTGATTTTAATTTATCCAAATAAATACCTATTTTTAAAAGTAAATATTTACTTTCTAATTCAGAAAATTTTCTCTATTTATTATTAAAAATAAAATTAATTTTTTATTAATAAAAAATAATATAAATTACATATTTCTTAAAACGGATGAGCATTATTTAAACATGTGTACCCTTTGTTCATTCAGATAAACTTTTTGTTTGACGATTTTACCCTTTTCTCTTCCCTTCCATTCCTTCTCCGTTGCCACCTCGATGTTGGTTCTTTAAACCTGTCTTTCGGATTTGTTCCATTTTTGGCATGTAATTATGTTTCTCAACAACTTCTATCCACCTTTTCTTCGACAATTCATGAGTTAGGGTTTCGACACTTCTGAGGACAGTCTCCAATCGCAAAATTCAGGTGATTTTTTTTAAATTTTATGTTCTAGGACAATTTCTTAGGGTTTAATCGAAAACCCTCGTTTTGATTTGGGGAAATTAAGGATTTTTTGTTCTGTAATCACTAATTGGGGTTAGATAGTTTGATTCGTGTTTGTTTGAAACATCAAACATATATATAGATATATACACACATACACACACACACGTGTCTGTTCATCTTAGAAATCAAAATGGCAGCTTGAAAACCTAAGAACTGTTTATTATTTGTTATATATATATATATGTATGTATATATATGTGTGTGTTGTGGGTGTCCATCTGATGCATTTTAGGTTTTGATTAATGTATTGTTTGTTAGAGATCGAATGGACAGCTTGAAAACCTAAGTACTGTTTATTATTTGATATATATATATGTATGTATATATGTATGCATGTATGTATGAATATAGACTTGGGATCATGTTAGACCTACTTGTCTGTTTCGTGAGAAGACCACTATTTTACACTTGAAACAGTGTTTTTGCTGTGAAGGTTCGGTTTTTTTTTACCTTCAAAGCGTTTTGCTATGAAATTTCAAGTGTAAAAAAGTGGTCTTACGAAAACAGGCCGGTCTCACGTGAACCAACCCTATATATATGTATGTATATGTGTGTGTGTCCATGTGATGCATTTTAAGTTTCGTTTAATGTATTGTTTGTTAGAAACCAAAATTTGCAGCTTGAAAACATAAGAACTGTTTATTATTTGTTATATATATACATATACATATACATGTATATGTATATGTTTGTGTGTGTCCATCTGATGGGGAGTTTGAAAACCTAAGAACCGTTCATTAATTGTTGTATAAGCAACTAAACTCATGATTAAGATATAACTGCGTAAATTTTTACTTTGATTTAGAAATGGCACATCTATATAAAAGCCGACTCCAAAACTATGCTCAAAAGAAGAACATTGCTTTCCCGATGTACGCCTGTGAGATGCAAGGCCCACCCCATTCCCGTCTATTTAAAGCACGGGTTACCATTGACGGGGTTATGTACGAGGGACCCGAGTTTTGCACCACGTTGAAGGATGCGGAACACGCAGCTGCTAAAGTTGCTTTCACATCGTTATCGCCAGATGGAGCAAAAGAAGTTTGATTCTTAAACCATCTCTATTGATTTATAACGGTGTTGCTTTTCTATGCTTAATGAATTAAGCTGTCTTTGTGTATGTTTTGATTCAGGACGATTGTTTGTACAAAAGTCTTTTACAAGAATTGGCTCAGAAGAAGGGTCTCGTTCTTCCGGTTTATGCCACAAATAGAGCTGGCCCACCTCACATGCCGAGCTTTGCCTCGACCGTTCAGATAGCTGGCAAATGCTTTGTAGGGCAAGAAGCCCGAACGAAGAAGCAGGCTGAGATGAATGCTGCAAAAGTTGCTTATACAGATCTTACCGAAGGTAACGAATCTAGCGTTCATGTTAATGCATACATTTGAGCGTTTCTTACAAGCTTTATGATGTGTTCAGAATTAGAAATACTTTAACGTCTATCCGATATCTTAATTCTATTTATCGGTTTTGTGTTATAGTTGAATACATATGCTATTAATTGAAGCGACACATGCTATTTTCGTTCTAAGTTTCCACCAAACAGGTGTCTTAATTGAAGACATTAGTTACATATATCGGTTTAAGTTCCACCAAACAAGTGTCTTAATTGAAGACATTAGTTACATATATCGGTTGCGTAGTTTAGTTGTATTGATGAAGTGGTCAATCCGAAAACAAACATACGTAACTACTATATAAAAGTAAAACACTCAACACTGAGCTTAACAGATTCAGCAACGAACCCGATGATTATTCATTTTCTAGAAAAATTACTTCGATAGAAACGAGCAAGATGAATCAATTTATTTGGGCTTGCATTGCATCCTCAGGTGGACCAAGAGTGAACAATGCAGCGGTTTTCTCCGACATTCAGATGGTCGGGACTTCTAGTTTTGGATCTTCCAGCGCGCAGATGGTTGTGGCGGACAAAAAAGAACCGACCCTCATATCGAGCACTAGTAAGATGGGAACAACCATTAACGATCAAGCCAGTTGTTCAATTGCAAAGGAAGCGGAGAAAGCAAAAGGTGATTTCTGATAACTCTTAAACGTATATTTACTTAGAAGCATGGTCGTAAATGGAGATCCAAAAATCTACGTACCGTTTCAGATTCATCAGATATGATGGTCTTTAACCGAGAATCTTACCTGGTAAATGAGGGTGGTGATTCTTCCCCCGTTATCTCTTATTGGGTAAGAGATGCTTATACTATGCTATTTCTGGTAAGGTAAATGAGAGTGGTGGCTCTTAGCCGGTCAGCGCTTACCTGGTTGTGTTGGTAAACGGTTCCTAAAACGATATAGCGTTTGTAATTCTTGATCATATGTCATGCAACACGTAGATGCACATAAATATCAAATATGAGCAGATGTATATATGGATATGAATCATAACGGAGTAACCTTATTGGCTGATTCAGTGCTCGACGATTATATTCTAGAAGCTTCTAATTCGAATTCCGTTTAGAAGTATTAACTCTCTGTTATCTCTTTTAGGATTTTTTTAGTTAGAAAACTTACAAGCTGTTGTGATTTATGGTTTAAGGTCTCTATTGGATGACTACGATCCCAAATGAAGATACCGAGAAGCAAAGGGTGACTTTGCCGCCAGTCGTGATCCATCAACCTCAGTCAAAAACCACACCAAATGTTGTTGATTCCGTGAAACTAAATGTCGGGCGGGAAAATCTCGTATCTCAAGCTCACGAAGGTACACGTGTCTTCCGACACTTGTTGCCAACTTTTGCACGTTATGACTGAAATAGCCGAGGTTATGCAAGTGCCACTTACGCAACTTGCATAACCCACTTTTCTGAATAAAATAATAAGGAAAAGTAGACATTATGCAAGTTGCATAACTGCTACTTGTGTAATGTCTACGTGGAGGAGCAGTGTGTGCCACATAGACATTATGCAAATAGCACTTACGCAACTTGCGAAACGTCAAATTTTGTGAATATAATATAAAATTATGTGAATGCTAAACTGGAGACGTGACGAATATTTGTGGTTGATCTTTTCTCTTCAGGGTCGGGCTTGAATGGAAAAAGAAGCCAACAAAATCAATCTTCTGTCACGGATTTGGGTGCCGCAAAGCCGGTTTCAACCAAGATCGTGATTCGGCCACACGTACACGGCATGACCTACGAGGGTCCGATCGAAGTGGCGGATGACGAATGGGTGGCGATGAAAGTGAACGTTGATGATGAAGCTTGATTGTTACTAGTAATGTACTTGATTTATGTAGGCCTCTAAAATCAATTTAGTTATGTGCTTCTTTTCAAGGGTTTTGAAATCTTTTGAGGTTTTTTTTGGATGTTTAGAAATACAATTATCGGGCGATGCGGTTAATCGAGAGTTCATATATTTATATTATCGGTTTTCGGTTTTTTTAAAAGATGGCATATCGTGAGTCGTATATTTGTATGTATAATTTTGGGAGGGTAAACGTAGTCTACGAAAATCCTTGTGGCTATTGAGGTTCACCTGTGGTAACTTCAGGCCGTTTGTGGTCTTCAGGGAGTTAGTCGGTAAACGTAAGTTGGCTCGAAAACTGACAGTTACTTAATTGTTTTTGTAGAAGACTTTTCTCTTTCCCTAATTGGTTCCCAAATAGTTAGTTTATTATAATTTAATATATTAAATAAATTAATCAAAATATAGAAAAAACATAAACTACCACATTAGGGGTTAAACGGTCATTTTACCCTCATGTCTAGTTCTATTTTATCAAACGTTGAACAACTGCCTTGTTTTGTTCTGTTTTGTCTGGTACCAAATGCACCTGCTTTTAAGGGTACCGTTTGGTACATAGGATATAATAAAACGAAACCCTATTGCCCTATATTTGGTGGGGCACTAAGCAACAAAACAAGACTAAACTATCCATGTCAAATTAAAAAAAAAACCCTAGAATCTTCAACATTATTCACCCATGTATCTCACTCTCATCCATATACTCCTATTCAGTTATATCTACGTACCGAAACGTGCTCTAAGTGCCAATTAAAATCTCACGGGTTTCAAATTTTGTAACCCTAATTGAAACCGAATATCCGAAAACCGAACCGGACCAAAACTAAAACCAACTCCATTTCCATTAATAAAAACCCTCTGCACTACAAAACAATAGATATATTGAAACATAAGAACCAAAGCAAAAGAAGCCTAATTGCCATTCTAACCCGTCGAACCAGCCTGCGGTCACTTGAGATCGGTGCGGATCTTCTTGGCGGCCGAAACCATGTGCGAAAGTGCAGGCTTTACCTCAGCGTACTTACGGGTCTTAAGTCCGCAATCAGGGTTCACCCACAAAACGTTCCTATTCAAAACCGCGAGCGTTTTGTTGATTCTCTCCGCAATTTCCTCCATGGATGGTATTCTTGGCGAGTGGATGTCGTATACACCAGGACCAATTCCGGCACTGTACTTGATTCCCTCACGGAACACCGACAACAGCTTCTCGTCGGATCGCGAGTTCTCGATGGTGATCACGTCAGCATCCATGTCGATGATGGAGTGGATGATGTCATTGAAGTTTGAGTAGCACATGTGGGTGTGGATCTGCATAAATCCCCGATTTTTCAAAATGGAGAAAATAAAAAAAATTAGATATTTTAACTTATTTTAATAATATAATTAAGAGTAAATTACAGATTTGGTCCTTCTGGTATGCAGGGTTTCTAGAAATTGGTCCCTAAACTTCATATTACTTAGATTACCTGGTAGACGGTTTTTGCAGAAAGGACCAAATCTACGTAATAAATAAAGTTTAGGGACCAATTCCGTAGAAACCCACATACCATAGGGACCAAATCTGTAATTTACACAGTAATTAAAAATTGAAAGTAGAATTAGGGACCAAATATGTTATAAATATGAAAATGGATGAAGAGACCAAATGTGTTATAAAAATGAAAGTAGATGGAGAGAAGGATAAATGGGCGAAACTACCCCTCACTAACAACACCCAAATTGACGGTGTTAGTAGGAGGGATCATATCGGTAATAAAAATGAAGCCATAGAGATATTTTTTGTTAAAAAATCTTTTCAGGGACCTTACTTGTTAATTTATGTAAATCACAGGGACCAAATTTGCATTTAACTAGTAGTTAATATTGAAATCTTTCATGAATGAAACTGTTGGGAGTTGAATGTAAATTTTTTCGGAGATTCTAACTTTTTCTTCTTAATTTTCGAGAAATTATAGAGAATCTCCCGATCCTTCGTTAACTCGTAAACACGGGCGACGTAAATTTGGAAAAATGATGAAAAATACCTGGGTAGAGTCCTGGACGCCGACGTTGGTGATTCTGAAAGCACGGACAGCCCAGTCCAAGTAGAAAGCATGCTCGGCTTTCCTGAGCGGCAAACCTTCTCGCAAAGCAGCCTCGTCGATTTGGATGACCTTAATTCCAGCCTTCTCAAGATCCTCCACTTCATCTTTGATGGCCAAAGCAATCTGGTAGCAAGTTTTAAATCTGGTGATAAAAATTCCAACTTTTTAGCATATGGTGCTAGGACACGATTATACAAAAAACGAAACCGTTCAATAAGGGTGCGCTTGGTACGCAAACATGACTAGACAGGACAGGACAGGACCACAGGTATGAGAGTGAGGTAGGGAAGTGAAAGAATCGTGGAAGGTTTTATGGTTTTGCTTTGACATAGGCATTTTAGTAATTTACCAATCTTGTCCCTTCTTATGATAAAATGCATTCCTGTCCTGTATTGTCCTATGTACCAAATGCACCCTAACTGTCTTTTTGGTAATTATACCTGGGCTGGTCGTTACGAACAAATGACCAGTTGAGGATGGTGACAGGCCCGGTGAGCATACCCTTCATTGGGCGCTTGGTCATTTTTTGAGCCGTGGAGGACCAGAAGACGGTCATGGCCTTGGGACGGCTAACATCACCGTAGATGATTGGTGGTTTCACACAACGAGACCCGTAAGACTGCACCCATCCATTAGCGGTGAAGGCAAAACCCGACAACTGCTCACCGAAGTACTCAACCATGTCGTTCCTCTGCAAACATCAGGTCCAGGAACATTTTAAGAGATTCCAACCTTACTAATAAAACAAGCACTACCTCCATCCCAAAATAATTTTCTGCTTTCCAATTCTATCCTTAATTATGAGATGAAGAAACCCTTTAGTTCTTCTATTCTTAAGGGTAAATTTGTCATAAAGTTAATTACAAAGTGTAATTTGAGAAACGGCAACCACGACAGGCCCCACATGGTACCCGCCCCCTAGGAACCACATGAGGAGGCATTTCAGAGCTGACCCATCAGCTGAGGCTAGCCAAGGGGTTCAAGCCTCTCTCCTACACAAGATTCGAACTTGAACCTGTTGTGCATTTGAGCAAAGTCGCTCAGCCCCTTTGTTAAATGAGCAACTCGACCGTGGGCAATTAAGAAGTGCAATAATTACAGATTTCTACAAATGTACATATTTTTCATTGCGGATATTTATTTTGCGAGATATTGAAAAAATTGCAGATTGTTATGGTGTTACCTCTGGTTCTCCATGGACTAGCACATCAATATCAAGTTCTTCTTGTAGCTTCACCACTTCACTGATTTCCTCCTTCATGGCTTTAATGTAATCCTCCTCTGTGATCCTATAAATACATATTTTTGTGAGCACAAAATGTCCTAACTGCATCTTCCATGGGTAACACTCAATCTTACACCATTTCCGTAGAAAATGGTTTAAAACTTGGTGTAACGATAAATTTTCTCCAATAACTAACACTAATTTTGCATCAGAACATAAAGATTCCAAGTATATTTCTTTTTAATTTTAATTATATAAACCTTCAATGAGGTCAAATTCGGGGGAAAACCACAAAAAAATTGAAAAACTGAGCAACACGCTAGTAACCGTTCATCTGTACAGCATGCACACGTGCATACAAGTAATTTTTCCGGTATGCACATGTGCATAGAAACCAGGAAACATCTTCATTTACCTTGTATGCACATGTGCATACCGTACAGATGAATGGTTATTATTAGGGTGTTCCTCAGTTTTTTTTTTTGGGGGGTTTCCAACCTCACTGACTTTCAATAATACCCTCATATTTATTAACTTTACAAATTATACTCATAGTTTTATGTTTATGATAAACTTAATTATTATTTTATAATTAAATTATTTTATTATATATAACGAACATTCTGTTAAATAATATAAGTTACATCATAAAACAATTCCAAGAAATAATACATATGCATTTACACATTAGTTATTATACAATATGTAAATAACATATAAAACTAATATAAATTTAATTTTTAATAAAACATAGATAAAAATACATAAATCTCAAAATTAAGGGACCGAATTTGTAATTGTGAAAAAAATAGTGAAAAAATGGTGCAAATGATAGTGTTAACACCAAATTTGGTGTCAGAAATGATGTGCCAATCCGAGAGATTTGGTGCCATTATAGACGGTCTTAGGGTCTGTTTGTTAGCAGCTTGATAAGCTTAATAAGACTCACAGCTTATTCGCTCAGTTATACATTGACTGTTTGGGGGTGGCTAATAATATAGAAAGCAACTTGTTTAGTAAATTTCTACGGTGAGTTTTATGCAGATAGCCAAGTTTTTCCAAAACATGCCCCTCCCAATTAGAAAAATACTCATTCCCTTAATGAAAAAACCATCCCAAACAAAAACTTTTTCTATCTATACAAACAGATTAATCCATACAGTGGTTTGGATATACTCACTTCTTAGCCTTGTACTCGCGACGAACTCTCCTGATATCGTTGGTTTGAGGGAAAGAACCGATGGTGGTGGTGGGAAGTAGCGGAAGGTTGAGTTTCTTCTGTTGGGCATCCAATCGAGCACTAACATTGGTGGCACGTCGATGAGCAGAATCCTTCAAACCATCAGCCTGGGAAACCAAACAAGTTGGAGTGATTTCAAGAACTTGCAGATGAAGAAATTTGAATGAATTTGTGTTACTACTTACAGCTTTTTGGACGGCTTCATTCGTGACTCTTGGAGAGGACTTTTTTGAAGCATGAGCAGCCGCATTAGCCGAGAAGTATGCCTAAAAACAAACCCAAAAAACCAATCACACCATCCTGTTTATTTTGGTACATATCTATGAACAATACATATATACACAAGGAAAAGATCAAGTAAGAACTATACATGTTCTAATAACCATGAGAATCTCTATATGAATTTCAGTGAGTATATGCATCAATGCATATACACATAGTAAATATCCATAGATGAATATACTCACTGACAGTTTATATGCATATGATGTATTGATTCTCAAATTATTTATGGCTCTCGTTTGACCCTTCCCTTGTATGTGTGTATATATATATATATATATATATATATATATATATATATATAGGGTCGGGTTCAGGGGAAAACTACAAAAAAACGAAAAACTAAAGAACACCCTGGTAACCTTTCATCTGGATGATATGCATATGTGCATACAAGTAATTTATAAACAATTTGTCCAGCATGCACATGTGCATAAGATGCACACGTGCATTGAAACCAAGAACCAACTTCAATTATTTGTATACACATGTGCATACAGATACAGATGAATGGTTTATCAGGGTGTTCCTCAGTTTTTCATTTTTTAGGGGTTTTACATACCTCGTCTTTTTTACCGGCCAAGGCCTTAGCCAAAGCATTGACTTCAACAATCTTTTGAGCAGCAAATGCTAGCCAAGATTTGATTTCATCATCCAGCTTCGTCTCATTTACAAGATCAACAGCAGTGTGGAGGAGTGAGCAGGAGGTTGACACGACAAGCTTGTCTGCACAAACCAGATCTTATATGAGTAATTGACTTTTAGAACCATCATCCTTGGTTGCTTTATTTGGGCTGTGCTTGAGGGTGTACCAATGTTGATCTGGAAGACCCCAAAAAAAAATGAAAGACTGAGGAACCCTCATAACCGTTCATCTGTATGGTATGCACATGTGCATACAAGTAACTGAAGATGCTTCCTGGATTCTATGCACACATGTATACCGGAAAAAATACTTACAAATTACTTGTACGAACATACATACATACATATATATATATTAGCTTTTACCCAACTATATATGTTTTAACCTTAGCCCAATTATACATGTCTTACCAACCATAATATTATAGACTTTTCTCTTTTAGCCGATTTGGTGATTCCCGATTCCAACTTTCTAAGAATATTATAAGAATAATTCTGTTTAAGTGAACTTCATATGTGACTGTCATTTTTGTTGTTTTACTCAATAAGACTTTTAATATAAACATATGGTACTGTGTTTTTATGTATTACTCGTCTGGTTGATCTATAGTCTTGGTATCGGTGTAGCAGGGTTTTCGAAAAGATTGGAAGGTCCCTTCAATGCCAACTATTTCCTTAAAAATATTAGTCATAAATATCAAAGAAACAAAAGAAAACTACCTTTGCCCACAAGACCCTGAAGAGAATCGAGAATACTTAGAGATTCAGCAAGATCATTAGCCCAGATGTTCCTTCCGTCAACAACTCCAGCAAAGAGGTATTTGCCCGATGGGAAGCTGCTCTTGATCAAATCAAGAGTCTTTTTACCACGGACCAAATCAAAAGTGTAACCCGTCACTGCTGGCAACGATGTGAGGGTTTTGAATGCATCAGAAGTAATATCGGCAAAGTAGGTTGCAACAAGAACGTTAAGACCCGAGCATGCTGAGTTTAGTTCAGAGTAAGCCTTGGTGAAAGCTTCCAATTGGTGGGGTTCAAGATCCTTAACAAGGGTAGCCTCGTCAAACTGGATCCATGAAGCACCGGCTTCCTTTAACTCAGTTACGACTTGCCTGCATGATTGGTTACCATTATGATGCAAATTGATAATATTCCCACATCGGCTAGACTTGGACCAGTCTCTTCAATAAATGTTGGAACCTCCCTTCTCTCCTTAAGGGTGCGTTTGGTACATTGGACTAGACATAACAAAACATAGATCATTATTCCACATTTGGCACACTGGATAACTGTTCTGCCAAACCGGGACTTTATTTGGAACAGACAGGAACAGAGTGAAACAAAGTGGAACAGGCATGTTCCACCCCCATCCCATGGAACAAGGTGGAACAAATTTATGATTTACCAATAAAACCTAATTCTCTTCTAAAACATCGAATACGCCTTCCTTTTTACATTTTATTCATTCTTTAAATTTCATTAATTGTATTTTGTGCTTTTTAAAACTTTCACTCTGCTTTTTTCAGAATATTATTTTTATACGGTTTCTATATTTTGATCAATTTATGTAATTTATTGAATATTAATAATAAAAATAATATAGAAAAGGTCTAGAATAAAAATTGGAAACTACATAAACTTTTTATTTTGGTGTCATTTTAATTGTCTAGACGAAAACTTTATAATGATATATTTTTGTTATAAAGATATTTATTTTACTATTATTTAATAAATTACGTAATTAATCAAAATATATAAACAACTCATTAAGTGTAAATTGGTCATTTTAGCTATTCCATTCTGTCCTATTTGGATATCAAACGCACCCTAAGGGATCTTTTGTAGAGTAATCTAATGGGGTTCCACATATTTTCATAATACAGGGTGTACAAACAACAGGAAATATTAAAAAGAGAGACATACTTGTAGACTGGGAGGATTTTGTCTAGAAGGGATAACAGATTAAAGGTCTTCTCAACACCTTTTGCAGGTTTAGATAGCAATAAGTAGCTGACAGGGCCAACCAAGACAGGGACAGTATCTACTCCAAGCTGCAATAGAGATGAACCAGTTTCAAAACCTATGAACTGCTTTATCATTCAAGAAAGATTTCAAGATCCCATTTGGGAAAATCAATATGTTATGGAATAGCTCAAGAACACAAGATCCCATTTGGGAAAATCAAAATTGTTATGCAAAGCTCAAGAACACAAGGTCCCATTTGGGAAAAGCAAAATTGTTGAGGAATAGCTTAAGAAAACATACAGCCTTGGCCTCTTTAAATTCAGATACAGCCTTGTGAGAAGCATAAGAGAATGCTACATCAGGGCCCAGCTCCGGGACAATGTAATGGCTGCGGATGACAACAATTAGAGTGGTTTCAAAATCGAATTAAGATCAGAAAAAACAAGATCCATGGGAAATCTGCAACTTACTAGTTGGTGTCGAACCATTTGGTCATTTCCATAGCAGGGACAGATTCATTTCCTCTGGCCATCGAGAAATAAGTGTCGAAACCAATCTCACCGCTCTTCCAGTTGTATCTTGAGGGGACAGCACCGAGCATGGCGGTGGTGTCAAGCACTTGATCATAGTAAGAGAAAGTGTTCGAAGGGATGTATTTGATGCCAGCATTAGCCATCTGTTTCCAGATGTTTGATCTAACATCTGAAGCCACTTTTAGCAATTCATCTGCACTACTTTTACCATCCCAAAAAGATTCAAGAGCAAATTTCAGCTCCCTTTTTGGACCCATACGGGGATAACCAACGATGTGAGATGCCATTTTCCTATCCAACAAAAATTTAAACAATTTAATAAACCAAACCAATCAAATGGATCCAGTATATCCCACTCAAAAATAGAGTATGAGAGGGGTAGGATGTACGCAGACCTTACCTCAACCCTTAGGATCAAGAGGTTGTTTCCATGAAAACCTCCGACTTGTGCATGAAACAGTGTGCAAGCAGGAAATAAGATAGGTAACATAACAGATTATCAGGTAATACAACAGGTAGAAAAAGATATAATGGCATGTGCACGATTCAATGGTGTGCAAGCAAACAATGTAATCAAGTAAAACATGTAATACAAGTAGAAACTAATATACATAGCAACTTAAACATGTAGGCAAGAGCCGACTTCAACTTGAAACCCACTTCAACGTATCAAATCCTAGCAAATTGCAGTTGGAAACACAAGAACTTTTTCACCAAAGATAATCCGAAATTGCATAAAAGTCCAAAGAATAGGGTATAAGAAACAAACTTTTATCCAAGTAAGTTGTACAAAAAAAAGGGCATAATACACGTGAATGAAGATTGTAAGCGAGTCCTCGACAATCAGTCAGTGGACATGCTATAAAACATCTGATGATAATTGCAGATATGATGATCTTAGAAAAACTGGGAAAATCACTCACAATCGACGATAACTCCAAAACCAACATCAAATTAGGCTGTTTGGGAGATGCATTAATCAACAGTACTGAATGCTTAAAAGGATTGTTTTAAGATTTTGAGCAAAATGCTTTATATTTTATATATATAGAGAGAGAGAGTTTGTTTCAAATACAACCCGTCTCATTTGTACAACCAATGCAACCCAATAAATTGAGATATTTATGGAAATAATAAGAGTTCATTTATTATGATTTGAATATTTATGAAAGATGAATATGGTTCATTAACTATATATATATATATATATATGTGTATATATATATATATCAGGTTGGGTTAACGTGAGACTATATATATATATATATATATATATATATGTGTATATATATATATATATCAGGTTGGGTTAACGTGAGACTATATATATATATATATATATATATATAT